CGTCGAAGCGGAAGGGGGATTGTGCATGTGGGACGGGTATGTCCCACATGCACAATCCCCCTATGGCACACTTGAAAAAGCAAAAATCTGGAAAAGTATACAACCGAAAACGTGTTTATTGAGGACAATCAGACCCTCCTCTCTCACTACCAAATACGACCCCTTCCTCCTCGCCAGGAATCCCTAACATAGCAAACGGGACGCACGAAGGCTGTTTCCCCGCTCCTCTTTAATGTCGTCATGAATGTCATTTCACAAGAGCTTCAAAGCCGACTTTCAGCGCATTCCTATGCTGACGAAGTGATGCTCGCGTGTGACAATAATAATGACCTGGAGCAACTGGTGCACGCTGAGCCTGAGCGTTTGGCGAACTTTGGACTCAGACTGACATCAAGAAAACCGAGTACTTGACAACCGCCTCAAACCAGTACGGTTCCCCGGAGAACAGTGGCGGAGAGGTAACACGTACGACAGCGCTCAAGTATCTCTGATCAACAACTACGTCTGATGGCAGTCTAGACACGGAAGTGAGCTCGTATGTATTTGCACCCTGGTTCAACAAAGCCAGCATTTTCAAATATAGAATAAAGAAGTAATTTCGGAGAACCAGCAATCTTATCTATGGACGTGAAAACTAGTAAAATTCAGGACATAAAAAATTTGAGATTGTCTAGTTCCATTCTTTTCTGCTGCTACGATTTCATTACTGTTGGTGCAAGAATGCTCCGAATTCGCCTCACCTGGATTGCGTTCCTTTCCAATCAATCACGAGCTGATTATCTTCAAGCCGAACAGATTCCGGGCTTTGTTCGACGTCGAATTCCTTCATTGTCAGCTTCCTGAACTAGGTATTTTTATACTGAGGCGCTTTTCTGTTGAAAATCAGCAATCAGTTTATATTTCAGGTAATCGTACACTATGGCTATCACCTGGACATCGCAAGGGAACATTGAATTTTATGGAAAAGCTGAAATTACTATTGAGATGGAGTAGAGAAATACATTGGTCAATCATTGGCTGATCACAATACTAAGTAAGAATGCAACAAGTAGGGATTGAATAAGAAGTGACCGAAGCAATCGTCTTTAGAATAAATGCCCATTTGAAATCCTCAAAGAACCAAGATTTATTTGGATCATGAGTTAGGCAGTACCTGGCAACCATCGCTGGACTAAACATGTAGGTGTTCGGATCCGGTGAACAGTCTCTCAACCATATTACTGGAAACTTTCCCTTGACTCCTGAAAAACGTCTGATGACCAGGTCCGTTCTCTCAGCATCTTCTCTCACGATGAATTTTAGAGGACGAACTCCAAGACAATTCAAGAATTGATTTTACTCACCATCGGTCCATTCTATCGTAATGATTCGATTGACCGGTTGCGATACGGAAGCGATTTTAGTCGCACTCGTAAAAAATCTGAAGAACGAGAGAAATTCAAGGAATTAGCCATGAAGCAGTGCAACATATAGTGATCAAAGACAGTCCCGCGCTCAAGCAATTCGTAGGCATCATCTCCTGTGCAAGTAGTCTGGGGCTCATTTCCTAAGACTAACTCACCTTCGCAGTTTACAGTGAGTAATGAAGGCATTGTGGCCCTCACGGCAGCTCCGACGCCTCCCCAGTTGTCCCGCCCACCTAAACCTGAAGGCTATTTTTTGCCATGAGTTCCATTTTAACAATGTGTTTCCCGTTTTCTTCACTGTCAGAAGGTCTTAGAACTAGAGAAATGATTAGTGAGCCGGAGATATCATTCTGCTGAGATAAAACAAGCAAGATCGAGAACTGGTACAGTAAGCTGCCGAGGGATAATTATTCAGGCTGTTCCCCGTAATTTTTTTGGCTTTTTATTCCCTGGAGAACCACATAGCGACAATAGGTTTACTGAAGGCCACTATCTACAATATACAAGCGC